GGATTCATCTAAGGAGTGTGCTGAATTTCATGAATAAGAAATCTTTCTAATTTAACTGCTTAGTAAAAGCCTTCCCTTTGACAGACTGAGCTGCATTCCCGTAAGGCTGGCTAAATAAGACTTTGCACACAGCTGAATTTCAGGAAAGAAGAAAAATATCGCAGGTCAGAGAGATAATTCTCACTTTCAGTATCTTTACAGAAAACCACGTTTCCCATAGCAAGATAAAAGCAGGGAGCGGGTGCAAAAAAGATGAAGAAATAATTCCACCTTACCAAGCTTCTAGTGCTAACTGCCACAACTTGAAAAAGATATACAGCATGCCATCCCTATCCCACAAGACAAAGAAACTTGAAATTGGGCACTAGTGGTTTAGTTTTCCTCAGATTAAGAAAGGCTATAGAGATGCAGTGAGCTCTGCAAAGACACTGAACAGAGTTTAGCGCTAAGCAATCATAAACATGCACAGGTTAAGCAATCTGTCCACATCAGCCACGTCTGGAGCACATGAAGGCTTCAGTGACTGCCATCATCTCTGCAGGTAAAGCGATGCTGTTGCTTTTTGCAAATTATTACAAAAGAACCACTTGGAACTTCTACTGAGTCAAGCTAGGATGAATCATAGAATCATAGAATCACAGAATGGCCTTGGTTGAAAAGGACCACAATGCTTATCTAGTTCCAACCCCCTGCTGTGTGCAGGTCGCCAACCAGCAGACCAGGCTGCCCAGAGCCACATCCAGCCTGGCCTTGAATGCCTCCAGGGATGGGGTATCCACAACCTCCTTGGGCAACCTGTTCCAGTGTCTTACCACCCTCTGGCTGAAAAACTTCCTCCTCATATCCAACCTAAACCTCCCCTGTCTCAGTTTAAAACCATTCCCCCTTGTCCTATCACTATCCGCCCTTGTCAACAGCACCTCTTGATTTGACTCGATCTTTAATGATTCTCGATCTTGAAGGTCTTTTCCAACCAGAAACATTCTATGATTCTATGAATATGTGCTCTTCAGAGAGAAATGCTTCATCTTCTCAGTGTAAAGAGGTAAAGCATTTTTCAGGTTGATTTTTAAGTTACTGTGTGCATATGAGAACTTGGAGAGAGGTGTTGCTTATTTATTCATGACATTTATGAGTGATGTCCAGAGGTATTAGAAGTCTAGGAATTGTCTCTTTTGAATCAGTGTTCTATTGGCTTAATTAATATTTAACAATGCTAAATAATACCAATAAAAAGTCAGTATAGTTTCTCAAGTAAGATATAGCGGGCTTGTATAATTTGACAATTTTATGTAGTTCATATATATCAATATTATAATTTGATGGTGAACAGCAAGGCGGGGATAAAATGATGTGTGAAGTGTAAACAGAGGTAAAATACGGCCCTTGACAACATATGGAATGGCAGCGATGGATGTTTTGTCCTGTTTTCAACAAAGCCTTTCAGCACACTCATAATTTTAAACATGTGAAGAATCCCACTGAAATCAGAGCATATTCCTCACTATTTAATACCAGGTACGTTGAAATGTTTTGAAGAAAAGAGTATTTCCAGTTTATGGACAGACAAAGCTGAACTGTACAGTGGAAGTCACTTGAACAGAATGAAAGTAAAATAACTAAGGAATTTATTGTGGAATGAAATGTACTGGAATATCAGAAGAAGAGGGATGGCCAGCAGGGAGAGGGAAGTGATTGTCCCTCATGAGACCTCATCATGGACCTGCATCCAGGTCTGAGGCTCCCAGTATAAGAAAGACAGGAAGCTGCTGGAGAGGATTCAGAGGGCCACAAAGATGGTCAGAGGGCTGGAGAAATTCCCCTACAAAGACAGGCTGAGGGAGCTGGGCTTGTTCAGCCTGGAGAAGAGAAGGTTGTGGGGTGACCTAATTGTAGCCTTCCAGTACCTAAAGGGAGCCTACAGACGAGAGGGGAGTCAACTCTTTACAAGGGTAGATAACTGCAGGATAAAGGGAAATGGTTTCAAGTTGAAGGAGGGAAGGTGTACGCTGGATATCAGGAGAAAGTTCTTTCCTATGAGAGTGGTGAGGTGTTGGAACAGCTACCCAGAGAGGCTATGGATGCCCCGTCCATCCCTGGAGTTGTTCAAGGTTGGATAGGTCCATAGGCAGCCTGGTCTAGTATTAGATATGGACATTGGCAAACCTGCCTGTGGCACGGGGGTTGGAGCTTGATGATCTTTGAGGTCCCTTCCAACCCAGACCATTCTATGATTCTATGATGAATAAGGACAGTAAATTTTATGACTGTCATGGAATTTGAGGCTGCTTATGAAATTCTAAAAAAAATATTACATTTGCAACACAGTCATCTTTTTCTTTAATTGCATACCAGGAAGTGAGTTTTGCTGAAAATGAGCCAGCTATTGACACGCTCCTTCAGCATGCTGTGGCAGCTTTACAACTTTATTTTCTCTTACAGCACAACACTTAAAAAGAAAACAGATACATTTACTGCTCTCCAGCACTTGTCAGAAACTCTAAGGTAAATATGGACCCTTGAACAAGGGGCACAGCTATGAGCATGTGGGATGATACAGACCACAGTTGGACTATGGGGCATATTTATACCAGAAAATTAAGAGGCTTCAGGGCACAATCTTGGGTCGTGGCTGTGATGGCTTGTACTGCTGAACTGTTCAAATGGCAGCATGGAGATGACAGCCTGACTGTGGAACTAAGATAATTTAGTAGTGGTATGGTATAATACAGTAGTGTTCAGAGTTACATGGTGAGGATAGGTCCATTCTTGTCATAATCTGAGCGAGGGACAAGCTCTGCTTGGTTTATGAGGGTGTGAGGGAATACCAAGATCTAAAACAAGAGAATGGGTGGGGAGGAAGGTGACTGTGGTTTGCTTTGAGTTTCTAACTGCTCAGGTCCGCTAGAAATAGGCAAAATATTTCATTATTTTCCCTGTTCTGAGTGTCTTTTTCCCATGATGCATGGTCTCCTTGTCTTTTTATCAGTCCACAAACTATTTTCCATCATATTTTCCCTATTCCTTTGAGGAGGATGGGTGGAAGAATTGCGTACTGGATTTTAGTTGTCCACCAGTGTGAAACCACCACACATGGAATCTAGTAGTATTTGAAATGACCTAGTTCAACTGCTGGTAAGAAGGACTCAGGTCTGCCACAGACATTTTTACGTGAGAATTTCACTTCTCTTCATCAGTGAAAGGAAACACCTATAGAGAACAATTCATCTCATCCTCAGCCACTCAGAGCGACGTGGCTTCTGAAGGGAAAAGTCCAGAACAAAGGCTGGATAGATCAAGAAGCACAAATAATCTGCTCCTACATATGTGAGGTTTGTCTTAGCTGTCCAAATGGTAGTGCTGTCCGGGATGTCTTGCAATGTCTTAGGTGGTACCAGACAGCTCTGTATAAGTAGCTGAGCTGAGATCTGCCATGATGGTGAAAGCAACTTAGACCCTTCTCACAATAGGAAGCGCCCTCCTACAGACAGCTCAGATGTCAGACTTGATTCCCACTCAAGCTACCTTACACTTCTTCCTTCACCTGCAGCTTCTCCAAAATGAGCAGCTGCCTTGAGCTCTGCAGAGAAGGTGGGACAGCTTAGGATCTAGATGCATTATCTCAACAACTTCTCAAAGAGATTTCCCATGTCCAAATCTTCATGTCAGTTTATCTTTTTTTAAGAATTCATGGAGGGATCCCTCAATGAAAGATCTTCCAAAGCAGTGGTTTGTTTTAGAGCACCCGTGATGTTCAAGAGCAGAATTTCAGTTGCTGCAGCTGTCTAGCAATGTCAGTCTGGACTAATGTGTTTTTGTCCAGCTCTTCATCCGCTTTGGGGACTAGAAACTTTGAAGTAACATGCCAGTGCTTCTGAAGAGCCTTTCAGATTTCACTCCTTGGCTTCAGTTACTTCTACCAATCACCTATCTCCTACTGTACTTCTCTGATCTTCCTCTTGGAATACTTATTTGCTCATTGAAAACTGTATGAAATCTTTTGTAACAATTCCTGCTTTAGAATTGCAGCATTACATCCTGTAAATGGAACTAGGCCATGGAGCCTGCTAATATTTTAAGCTTGTTAAGACACCAAGGCATTAACGTATTAAAGCAATGCCTTACAAACAAAACACACAAGAGTGCAATAAATTACAATAAACTTACACTTAAATATAACCTGCATAAAAATGCACGTCTTAAAATTTAAAACACATGTAGCTTTGAAGAGGAACAATCTTTTTTTCTTCTTTTCCCTATTCAATCCAGTTAATTGAAAAAAGGGGTGATATACTTGAAAGTCTTCACCACCTCGTCCTCTTAGTGGGGACGTGGCAATATCAGCTGAACAGCAAAAGATCAGAAGTTACACATTAAGTGTGTTAGGCTTTTATTTCATCACATGTTGAACATGACTGGGGCTGCGTGCCATGGCCTGAGCAACCCGATGGGGCCCGTGGGAAGACAGGTCCCAGGTGCCAGTGATTGGTGTGAAACACTGGTGCCAAGCACATGAGATGTGGGGAGGAACGGAACAAGCAGAGGTGCTGGGGAAAGCCCAGAAACGTGTGCTGGGCTTGAGTGCTGCTGGCACACGTGCAGCAGGCGAGGCCAGCTCACTGTGATAACCAAGCAATGGATGGTGGTATCACCATGGTGATGACCTTGAGTGAAGGTGAGGACTGGCAACACGGCCAAGCCCTCGTTTGTGACATCTCTGTGCGATGCATTGTGACTGCTCAGCCCACCCTGCTTTAACGCGGGTGCGGCAGCCCAGCCGATCAGTTCGTGCCTGGCCTCCAACCGAGCGTTTGTGCGAGGAGTGGAGTGTGGACAGGGCGAGTTTGGAGCTGAAACGTGCTCTGGGTGCTGCTAGCGCAGCTCTCAGAGGGCCGTCTCAGAGCCGCTTTTGCTTTACCCCGACCCTGCTGGAAGCAGGAGGACGGGACATTGTGCAGAGTTGTGTGCAGCAGTGCAGGTAGGCAATGCCTCCCGCTGGCAGCTGGGGGTGCTTCTTGAGGAACCCTCCCCAGGTTGGCCTATGGCCGTGGGGGCTCTTGTCCTATTCCAACGTGACACCTGATGCCACAGCATCAGTGCTGGGGAGCAAATTTTCATCTCCCACTCCCCCATGCCCACTGCAATTGGTGGATGCGTGGAAGTGGCTTTAGGCACCCACTGCCCCATATGCCAGGAGAACTGGGACAGCATGGCATACACCATGCCATGCTGCACCATTCTTGTTTTCTCTGCATCCAGCGGTGGACTAGCAGCAGGCCCCAGCGCCCGCTCTGCAAACAGGGATGCAGTCCATCATCCACGCAGGGCAAGCAGGCAGGGACTTTGAGGAGCTGGTCCTCGGGCCAACCACAACGGCATCTATTGCTGCACATTGAACCTGCCTAGCTTTGTCACTCACCTCGTGGCACCATCTAATGACAAATTGGTTACAAGTTACACGTGCAGTAGAAAAATGTGCAATTTTTATTTCTCCAAGTATATCACCATTACAAAGGAAAATCATGGAATGATGGAGGGTGAGGGAGGCCCAGGCCGGTGCCCCAATACATGCAGTGATGGATTGTGAGGTCACCGACCAGGGGGTTGTGACGTCAACGAGAGATGACTGTGACCTCAACAGCCCTTGCTGTATGGATTTGGGTGCCAGCAGAGGCCAGCGTGCATTCGTGCTTGGGCTCCAGCTGAGCGTAGCTGCAGGACTTGAGCACTGAACGAATTGGTTGTGTCGTGCTGTGGGGCTACTGGCAGCAGTTCTTGCAGCCCATCCCACAGCATCACCAGCATTTCCCCAGCCCTGCCTGGCTCAGGCAGCTGGGTCTGTGCGAGGTGCACTCGCAGCAGCAGAGGTGAGAGGTGCAGGACACGGCCCCTGCCGCAGCTGGTGGGGAACAGGGACCGGGAGGGTTTCTGCCAAGGGACCGGGGTGTCACTGCCACCTGCCGCTGGGGCAGCAAGTGACCATGGCTTCTCTTTCTCTTTTGCAGCTTGTAACACCTTCTGCCTGCTGCAGCACCAGTGAGGGGAGCAGCTTTCCAACCTCAGCTCTCCTCAGCCCACCGCAGAGCCCGGGCCATGGATATACCATCCAATTGGACCTGCCCCGTCTGCGGGCAAGCTCGGGAGGATGTCACCTATATGACTCCTTGCCAACACCGGCTCTGCTACGGCTGCGCCGTCTGGTGGGCCGAGAAGAAACCGATTTGTGCCGTATGCGGGCACAAAATAATCAGCATCCGCTACTCGGTGAGGGCGGATGATGATTATCTTGAGTGTTCCGTCCCGCAGCCCGCGGAACGCTCAGATGACGGCCTGCAGGACGAGCAGGGGCCTGCAGAGCAAGTGCTCATTCCACCCGAGCACGACTTCCCTGCTGAGGTCTGGGCTGCGTTTTTCGATCAGCATCCCGAGGACCTCGCACCCCTGCTCAACTGGCTGCAGCAAGAGATCAGGGAAATGTCGAGCGAGGATTGGTGGGAAGTGCAAGCGGGGCTATGGGCCACCGTGAGCCTTCTCTGCCAGCACGGGCTCGACCAGGAGACCTTGGTCCGGGAGCTGCAGCCAATCACCGATGGCGACGTGCTGCCCTTTGTACAGCGCCTCATCAACGTCGCCAGAGGCCTGTACAGCCCCCAGATCCGCCGTCAGCTGGACCAGCAGGACGGCCGTGACGCAGGAGGGCGGGAGGCCAGCCCTGCAGCCACCCCCAGCCTCCCATCAGGCGCCTCCCATCAGGACCCTCCTGCCTCTGGTACCGAGGAGCCGCTCAGCAGCTCCACTGGGGAACCCGGGCTCCCCAGCACCGCCACGGCGACCGCAGCAGAGGAGCCGCAGGAAGAGCCGGGGCAGGCGGCAGCAGCGGGCCCTTCCACCGGGAGCAGAGAGCACTCGTCTGGGGGGCCCCGACGCGCCCCGAAAAGGAAGACCCGCAGCGACCCCCAGGATTCACCCCCGCCCCGCAAGAGGCGGCCCCGACGGCGGCGCTAGGCCGTCATCCACTGCCAGCAGAGCATGGCTCCGCTGGGCTGGAGGCCAACATCTGCCTCCCAGCCTGCTGTGTGCAGAGAAAATAAAAATACATCAAAAAAAAGAGAAAAATCTCGGTGTTATTGATGAGGCTTTTGGCGTTGCTGGCCCTACCCATGCTGCTTTCTCCCTCTTCTGGTCCCATGGCAGGCTGTAAGGCTTTCTCCTTAGTACCAGATAAGATCAGTCGCTATCTAAATGAAATGTGTTGGGTAAACACATTTCACTTTAAAGTTCTTTAAGAGCAAACATGGATGGAAATGTCAGGGGTTTGAAGTCCATCCAGTTCGATGATGGCCAAGGTAACAACCTTTCTGCTTCCTGCGTATTTTGCCTCTCTACTGAGCACATGCCCAGTCCATTAAAAATAGGACGTCCTGGTCATGCAAAGGAAGAAGGTTCAACTTCCTCCTTCTAGCTGTAAATGAACTAGCAAATTTCTTTCCTGCTATCCATTCAAAGCAGACATCCCTTCTTCCTCAAAGTGTGTCACTGCTCTGAAATACAGCTTTTGTATTGCCAGCATTCACTGAGATCATTGTGTCATTAGTTCATCAAGTAACAGATGTAACTCCAGCAGCATGAAGAGCTGTTGTTGTTCTCCCTTCCTTTTTAATTACTGCCCCATGAACATCACATTTAAGCAGAGACAGTGTGTGAAATACAAGGAATATTATGTGCATATGAGAAAATATGAGGAAATACGTGAATATGTATGAATCCTAGAATGGCCTGGGTTGCAAAGGACCACAGTGCTCATCTAGTTCCAAGCCCCTGCTATGTGCAGGTCACACCAGCAGCCCAGGCTGCCCAGAGCCACATCCAGCCTGGCCTTGAATGCCTGCAGGGATGGGGCATCCACAACCTCCTGTTCCAGTGCTTCACCAGCCTCTGTGTGAAAAACTTCCTCCTAATGAAGGCTTAGCTCTGTTTATACCAGGCACCACAGAGCCACACAGATTCCTGAGGTAGCTGTGAATGACTTGGGTATCCACACTGCAGCATCATGCAGAGATATTAGCTTACATCCCAGAAGGAATACGGTCACATTAGTGTGGCTCTGTGCCCGGGCTAATTAGATGATGTTTCCCCAGTTGCCAGAAATCAAGAAGTGAATCATACATCTGCCAGCATCCAACCTTCTTCTGAAAGCACTGACTGGAACTATTCTGAACCTCAGTTATGTGAGGATGTAAAGTGAATACAAAGATATTATTATTATTATTTTGTTTTAAAACCAGAAGGAATCCTAAGTTCATTTACCACAACTACTACATTATGCCCAGTACTCATACTTCAGCCAAACTAATGCAATGGAGCTCTCTAGAGACCAAGCTATTGCATCTGTGCCACATGCAGTGACCAACCAAATACAGTCAAAGGCAAGACTACAGCAGTGGCAGAGAATTGGTTAGGTGGTAGTTTCCCTGAGTATATCAACAGAGATCCATTCCTCGTGCTGCTCTGGAAGGCTAGGTTCCTAGCTCTGGCAATTGGGATGAATCCCATCCTATGAGTAAAACACAAAGAGGCCAGGTTATGGCCAATCGCTGACAATCCAAATTAAAAAGAACAAAACTAGAACTAACCAGTGGTAGGATGGGGTAAAATTCCTTACTGAAACCTACAAGCAAACCACAAAGGCCCTGAAGCATGATGTGAAGACAAGTATAGTCTCAGAGCGAGTGTTTCAAGGATGGTGCCAGCACATCATTCTGAACACAAATAGAAAGGAAGGGGTTAATCAAGGAGGCACATAAATCAGCACGTCCCAGTACATGCCATTGCCACCACACATAGGCAGAGCTTCTCAGGAACTGAATTGAGCTCCTCTTTCAAACGATAAATGATCTCATTTTGAAGTCTTGAAATGAAGGTGATGGAAAAAGAATCCAATGCTTAATTACACTGCAAAAATATTTCGTTCTGAGGTGGAACTTCTCAAACTTGAATGTCCAGCTATTGGATTTTGTCATGGTCCACCAGTGGTTGGATTGTCAATCTCACAATGATGTTTGACGTTTGAATGTGTCCTTTTTCTGTTCTATAATCCTTGGTAGGTCAACACAGAAACCACATGAAATGTTTCAAAGAAAGGCAACAAAGCAGTGAAGAGTCTGGAGAACAGGCCCTAAGTGTTATGGGGAGTGGATGAGGGCACTTGGATGGGTCAGTTCAGAGCAGAGGAGCTCAGGGGAGACCTCATTGCTTTCTCCAACTCCTGAAAGGAGGATGTGGTGAGGTGGGGGTCGGCCTCTGCTCCTGGGTAACAGCACTGGGACAAGAGGTAATGGCTTCAAGCTGGATAAGGAGAGGTTCAGGTTGGATATTAGAAAACATTTCTTCTTAGAGAGTGGTAACACATTGGAACAGGCTGCCCAGGGAGGTGGTGGGGTCACCATCCCTTGAGGTTCAAGAAAAGGGTAGATAGAGCACTTAGGAACACTGGTTTAGGGGGATCCAGGGCTGACACTTGGACTTGATGATCTTAGTGGTCTTTTCCAGCCTTAAACAAATCCATGAGATTTTACTGGCTGCCTCCAGAAAGCATCCTCGCCCTGACTAAGGCTTCCCTTTTCACATAGGCAGGAGGTGCAATAGCAATTTTTTGTCTTTCTGCTGCACTCTGGGCTCAGTGGAAGACACTTAATCCACAAAAGCCCCTGGATCCTTTTCAGAATTACTGACTCTCAGGGTGGTGTCCCATTCTGTAGGTATCATCTGCGCTTTTTGTTACCAGATGTGGTAACAAGTGGCATAATTATGATAGCTGTTAAAATATTGAAATGAGTTACTGCGCGTAATATTTCTGGAAAATGGTAGAAAGCATGATGCTTATTGAGACTATATAAACATGTACAATGTTTTCCCAGCACAGTTTCCCATTTATGTTTGCACAGATGTGTATAAAGTCACCACGAAATCTCTTCCAAGAGAGATAAATCGAAAGGTTTGAAGAAGGCAAATAGCCAGAATGCTCTGCTCAGCATATCAACTCTGACACCTTTTGTTCATTTTTTTTTTTTTGCTAATCATAAAAAAAATAAAATACTCAGTGCCATTGGAAAACGTGGCAAAAAAAAAAAATTTACAAAGTATAAATTTTCTCAGCAAAAATAGAATGTCCACATTTGAAGCTGCAAAGAAATATGCTTTAAATTAAGGGACAAAAGATAGCATTACAGAAGAAATTGTCATAATCAAAGCTGAGAAAAAAAAAATTCTATTGTCTGCTGTGTCTCTCTGTGGGAATTTTCCCAGCACAGACAGCTGTAAAGGAGGAGGGGTATTGTGAGTTTCTGTACTCTCATTCTCTCTCTTCCTCTCTTTCTCTGTCAATAAATGTCTGCAATCATATTCTCAAGCTCCAGTGTGATTTCAAGGTTCATCTCTTCCATGCAGCTCAAACACTAATTATCCCAGCTGTAATTAGTAAGATAATTAAATACTGGCTCACTCATCACTCTACCTTGTGTCGGGTCATGATTCTCCCAGAAGACCTTGAGCAGTTTCTCAAAGCTGATGTTTTCTGGCTGATATACCACTCGTACAGCCTCTGTGTGGCCAGTTCTACCTTAAAAGACAAAAATCAGATCCTATTAGTGAGAATTAGCTGCTGCATACCCCTTTTTTTTTTAATATTGAGATTGAAAGCACAATCCTTTGTTTCCCTTTTTATTTTTTTAATGTATTTTTAAAGGCATGAGCTTCTTATATATAACGTTTAATGTACATACTAGCTCTATGATATCTACAAGTTTGGACAAGGCCATCATGAAATAAACAAGCCAGAGTGAAAATAAGGTAAGACAGTGATGTTTTTACAGATGCTTGTCAAGTTTCAGGAAAAAAAAAAAAAAAAAAAGAATATATCTTAAATATTTCTACCTGACAATTAGTAAAATATTATCAAGTATTCTAAATAGAATATTAAAATATGAAAGCCATCCAAAAAACCATGAAAAATACAACCCTTACAGTGTCCTGACAGTAGGAAGCTGGGCTTCACCAGCAATGAGGTAAGATACAGATGAAATAATTGATGATGAAGACTAAGTTCAAAAGCATGTTTACACAAGACTGTACAACAAATTTTAAACTACACTACAACCTCCAACACACTGATCCCAAATGGGCCTCAAAAAGAGTCAGTGAGCTCCTAATTGAACTTGAAAGAGAAAAACACCACCACCGCCCTATTCTCCAGTTAAATCATAACAAGGAAGTAATCAAGCAAAGTAAGCTGGATGGTCAGAATGACTTTTAGGTGGGCATATAATAGGCTACTCATTGAAACTACAGGTTTTCATGTCACTCTCACCAGCATAAATTTCAGCATTACTAAACTGACTTCAACAGAATCATCTGGAATTTCATGCAGTGCAACAACCAGGTGAATCTGGCCCATTGGGAGGTTCTGAATTAGCTGCCACCAAACAAGAAAAATCAGTCTATAAGTAATGGGGGAATGTTCAGTGAAAATACCAATTTGGTACTAAGGGAAATCTGAAAAAAAAAAAAAAAAAGTAGTGGAAGGAAATGAAAAGGATGCGAGGACATATGAAAGAGGTGTAAGAGGGAAAAGTAAGACAGCATTATATCAGTTAATTGGGGCACATGAAAGGAAGAAAACTTAAATGAGGCACACAGACAGGTGGGCTAGCTATTAAAGGGGATTTAAAAGAGTAGGATTAAATTTAGTCTAGAACACAGAGAAGTAAAAGGGGACATATCTGGGATACCTGTAATGAAAATTTTGATAAAATCAATTTGGTTCCTGTTCAATGTGTTTGACAATACAGCAAAAATAGGCTCCCTGCTATTAAAAGGCAAAAAAGTACAAGTTATATGTAATCTGTAGCCAAAGCCATGTCATCCTGACCATCGGGACACTGTCCAGGCAAACAATGTCCCCATTCCTCTTTCACAAGCACTGTTCCTATTGAAGTCAACAATATTGAAGTCAACAATTGAAGCAATCCAATATTTGAAGGCAAATTTTGATGGCAGGTAGCTGAAAGGGATCGTACATTTAGTAGGATAAAAATAAAAGTCACAGATAATTGGCTTGATAGTAAAGTGAAATGGTCTTCCCATCGAATGGTGTGAACTGACAACCAGCTTAGGTCAGGGAAGGAATTTATACTAAGTTCCATGTTTTAACATGGATTATCAGGGAAAATAATGTGGGGTTTTTTTGGCTTAGCTGAAGACCAGCTTGGGCTTTTTGTTGTTGCTTGAGATAAAGGAGAGCAAATGGACAACGGTTCGTCCAGATTTTGCAAGCCCACTTCATGGAAGTAAAAAAATTCAGGAGTGGCTTCTGATTTTATTATTTTTTTAAGCCAGTGTGAACCATGTGAAAGTTCTTGTCACTCAGGAGCAAATTGCTTGTCTGAGACAAGTAGCTTCAGATCACATGAGAGTTTCTTCAAGAACTTCAAAACAACAGAGGCATTACCTTTCCTCTCAATTGAAGCAGCAATTATATCTTGTCAACACTGTCTGCTCTGACTAATCCAGAAGTTCAAAGAATCAGCTTTCTTCTTTTCCTCTGAATAGGGAAATAACGGCATTACTCTAAGAATGCTATAGCCTGACCTCATGGAAAAAATCCTTTAGATGTGTGGCTAACAGACTCTTAGAACCCAGAGCATATTTAAAATCAATATTCATCCTCACAGAGAAAGCAAGGAGATAATGACTGCCGGTCTTATCAGATTCACCTTTAATTATCCTCAAAGCCTCTCCACAACCCATTGGGTTTTCTTTCCTAATATGGCATGGCTATTTCTACTATGAAGAATCTCAGTCATTTGTGGTGAGCGCTCCCAGCTCCCACCAATTTCCATGGAAACTCTTCCAATCAACTGGGTGAGCAAGAGCAAACAGAGGCAAAAGGCTTCATGTGGCACTGATTGAGCACAAGCTTTCCTAGGAGAAGCACAAAGAGAAAATAGTATTGGACAGAAAGAAGGTACAATCACTCTGCAGGTACTATGTGCTTCATAAGGATTCAACAGAGGCCTAAGGTTAACCTGAGCAGCACGCAGAAGCTCAGCTCATCGTGCTGGATGTGACTCAGCTGCAGCCAAAGTGACAAAAGGAAAACAAAACTCTTAGTTAGTTGTTGGCAATAAGCTTAAATTTCCCTGTTCCTTGCAGGGGAGTTGGATTAGATGACCTGAAAGGTCAACAGTTCTATGATTCTATGAATTTTGACTGCAAAAACAGAATAATTGCATTTATCTTGGATTTATATGCTAAGTACACAGCAGGGAAAGAACAGAGCAGGCATCACAACAGCCAACTACTTCTTTGCACTGTAAGAAAACCCACCCATATTGAAACATTTCTAACCAAATCTTTATTTGGTAAGATTTCTTAAAATGGAGAGGCAGTAATCAAAGAAAAAAGCTGCACATCTTCTAAGGAGAGGTTTAAGCCAGCTAACATGGAACAGCTGAAACAATTTAATCTGCTCAGTGATGGATGGCGTTCTTTCAGTGATATTCAGCTCTTCCACTTCGTACCTCTTTCAGAATTTATCACAAAACGTCCATTTATATTAAGTCAGAGAGTCATAGTGTCCTCAGATCACCTACTGGTTTTAATTATCTGGTTTTTAATATTCCACAGTGAAAGCGTGCTTCATTTCAAGTTCCAAAAGTTCCAGGAGCCCCCTCTCAAGAGAGCCCAAAGTTTGAGGCACATGATTTATTCAATCACTAAATATAATTCAATTTGCTGTTAAATGTGCAAATGGAAATCCTTTCTTTGTAGGTGCCAGTATTGGATTTCTAGCCATGGTGCTCAGTTCTCCTTCAGCTTTGGAAGGAGCTTAGCCATAGAAGAACCTCGCTGCAGCCGATAAGACTTCATTACACCGTGGCAGGGAGGGCTGTGTGCCAACAGCAGACTGTCTGTTTATCCTGTATCTATTTCCCACTTAGAAAACATAGCCACTCTCAGAGGATTAGCTACAGTGAGCTCTTTCAGTGGGGATTCAAACTCTGGCAAAAACCTTCCTGTAAAGAGCAATGGGGAAAAAAAAAAAAAAGAAAAAAAAAGAGATCTGAGAGACACGTCAGTGCTTCTTTTCAATTTTTTTTCTCCCTAATAGTGTTTAGATTTTCACCTTCTTAATCATCTCCCAGGTGAGTGCCCAAGCCAACGGATTAGAGAACTGAGCTCATTCTTTTTAACTTGCTGCATGCTGTAAGCAGTTCATTATTTCCTGCAAAGTGGAGCAACTTCAAAGGACTCCTCACCTGCCAGCAGCCACGTGGCACGTGGGCTTCTTCTCCCGATGCTTCAGACCTTGATGAATTGGGTTACGAAATTCATGCAATGCCAAACCTATTCACTCTTGCCCCGTTTCTGACTTGCTTCTCTTTGCCCAATGAAACATAGGGATGTGCCACTGGTTAGGCATATGGCCAGCCCATGCCACTCCATCTCCTACATCCATTATGCCCCATTGCTGGAGGTGCTCAGGGCCAGGTTGGATGGGGCTGTGGGCAGCCTGATCTAGTGTCTGACTTAGGGGCTGGCAACCACACCAGGGGGGTTGGAACTGGATGATCTTTGAGGTCCCTTCCAACTCAAGCCATGCCATGATTCATACAGTAAGGCACCACGTATGTAGCTCAAGCAACAAAGTTAAGAGATGATCTCACACCTTCTCCTTATAGTTTCCCCTTCTTTGTGCAATAAACTTTTCATAAGTCTCATATATTTTCTGACACAAATGTCTGAATGTAACTGAAAGGAACAGGCAGCAGATTTTCAGCCAATGCACATTTCAGAGCTTATTGATTTTGGAGCTAAAACAATTTGTGCTAGCTAAAGCCAAGGCCCTAGTGAATATGTAAAGTATTATATGAAAAAGTAATAGGTCTTTTGAGCATCTGCTTCTTCAAACCAGCCTGGGAATTTTTATTATGTTGTAGATATCGTTCATTACATTTCCAGCTTCTCTTTAAGATAGCGATGTGTTAAGCAAGCAAGCAAAGGTTAGTCAAGAACACACTGAGAAACCACTCTGGGGATCCTTTTAACTTTTTTTTTTTTCCTTTTTTTTTTTTTTTTAACCTTCCGAATAATGAGTGTGAAAAGAATGGAAATAATAACACTCCAATAGACTTTCAGAGGGCAGAAGGGTCCATAATGGCAATATTATTTGACTTTCTGCCTAACACAGATTAGAGAATTTTTGTAGAGAAAAAGTCACTTCCTGCAACTCCCGCCTTCCTGACCACTTTTCAGTTTTTTGGGGAGAATTTCATATTGTTTGGAAGATGGCTGTAAAATATTAAATGGCACTAACATTTGGCTAACTATTTTTTTGTTTTTACCTTCTTTATGTTTCCCAATTCTCTACGGACTTTGTCAGCTCTGAAACAGGAGATTATGTTTGGCTCATTATCCTCTGTGAGTTTCTGATTTACAAAATATAATGCTTTACCTTCTCAGTGTGATCCACACTGTTTTATACAGCTGTACTAAAATATATGTCAATCTTACAGAGAAAGAAACCAGTTTATCACCGTGGGCCAATTCTGCAGTTGTTAA